CACCCCCACCCCCCACCCCCACCACCCCTCCCACCGCCATTTCCACTAACGTCACCGCACGAGCACTTCTATTATTACTGCTACTACCGGGAGTACTGTCGCTTGCGCTGTCACTTGACTTATGCCATCACGACGACCACCGCCGGCACCACAACCATGCCACCACTGCCACTACCAGCACGGCTACGAACTGTACCACCACCGTCGACCACTACACTTTAGGCTGTAGCGACAACGACGACGACTACTACTACTATTGCTCCGAGTTCTCACGACTGCCCCAGCGACGAGACATGATGAATACATGGATGATGAGATATGATCAACTCAGGGTGGCGGTAGTGCTGCTGCTTCTACTCCCGGAAATGATTCTTGTTATGACGGTTTGGTCTGTTTGCTGGGCTTGTTTGACATACGTGGCCGGACAAAGGTATCAGGGGCCCATGCCGAGCTCGGCCGCTCCGGTGGAGCCCGGAGCAACAGGCCCACCTCCAGCACCTCCGGTGAGGACAGCTGGCTTGAACAGGTTGCGCCAAGACGGCGCTGCTTCCCGTCTTTCACAAACAGCAAGGGCTGTTGCCGAGCTTAATGGAACAACACTCGATCGGACGCGTGATTCAGCCAGCACCTCCAACGGTATCGCCTTACAGGGCGGTAGAGCCAAACCGTGGCCATCGAGCGGCTGCGGGTCTTAGAGGATGGAGATGAGGCTTTTTCTCAGAGTCGCAAGTTCTGCTAACAGCTGCTGGCTTCACCGGGATAGCCCGTCCATGCATGTGTTTACGGCCGTAAACGTTGAAGCCTGGCATGTGTCGTCAGCATGAAGTCTTGCTCAGCTCACCAGTCAGTGCTCCACGTCCAGGTGCCTGAAGAGGTGGTGATTCAATCTCCTTCAGCAGCTCATTAGCCTCGCATGGCAGAGTTCCCTTTCCAAACACAACATGTGGATTATGGTGTAAGCTCAGGTGCTGCAGCACAGGACAGGCATTTCGAATTTGGTAAGCTGAACTTATCTGTTCATGCGTGCTCATTCTTTAATGCCGCTTCCGAAAAAATGGAAATGCACTGCGCATTCAAACCACCCCAAGCTCCCATCGCCTCATCGACATCGTTGTGAACCTCGCCTGCTCTGCGCATGATCTCCGCACACCTCGGGTAGACTTATCTGGTGGCTTCATCTTTTGGACTTAGTTGAACACGAAGGTTACACCCCTAAGCCCATGAAAATGTGAGCAAAGACACAATTCATAACGTACTAGCTATATCATACACGAACAGTCACAAGATACGTTCTGCGGTAACTTAAGCAGATTCGTGCTCGGAGTCCGTATACATGCCTAAGCCTGTATTGGCCAGGAGAGTGTACTGGGCTGCGCGCCTGATCTCCCGGGAGGGGGGGGAATGGTGGACCCTGGGAGGGGGCCGTTCCCAGGGACACCGCAGTCCAATTACGACCAACGGGCCCACGGGTCCGCCCCGGGTCCGTGAACAGGCGTGTGTATGCTCTGACATGCGTATGTGTGTACGTATGTAAGCATGCATTTACACATGTATGTCTGGACGAACGGACATATGTACATATGCACGTATTTGTTGTACGTATGCATGTACTTGTTCTACGTATGCATGTATTTATGCACGTATGTATGCAATTATATACGTATGTATGTACTTATGTACGTATGTATGTAATCATCGCCGCATGCGTTTATCTGCCTGTGAATGCGTTTATCTATGTATGTGTTTAGGTCCGTAGGTATGTATTTAGAAACGTATGTGGGTATTTATGTTTGTCTGTAAGTCTATACACATGTATGTCTATGGTCTTATGTTTGTGCGTGCGTAAACACGTAGGTACAATAGTATACCTATATATATATATATATCTCTCTCTCTCTCTATATATATATATATTTGTATATATCTGTGTATATGTGCATTCTTATATACACACACATATACCTATAAATAGATGTATGCAAACCAGTATAGATATGTTTGCGTGCGTATGTATATATATATATATATATGTATGTATGTACACATACATGTACACGTGTGTGTGTGTGTGTGTTTGTGCGTGTGCGTGTGTCTGTGTGCGCACCTGCACATGTGTATTTTGCATACATACGAACATGTGGCCTTTTTTTTTTTGCGAGCTGTATAAGTTGTCTTTGACAAGGTAACGTTATGTTGCGTGTGCCGATATATGTATCCATCTATGTGCGTATGTACCGTCATATATGCAAGCATATGTACATACATGTACTCATTTACGTACTTGTATACCGGCCTGTGTTCAAAGTCTGCATATATTTTATATGTTTGTCTCTGCGTGCACGCACATGCATGCGGTAAATTCCTTTCTATGTTTTGCACTTACGTCTGAGTGTGGAACATTTTTTCCCCAGATAGCTGTAGCTATTAGGCGTTCTAGGTTAATAAGGGCCGTGTCCAACGCCGCCGCAGGGGGCGCAGCCGCATGCAGTCGGCATGCAGGCTAGGTGGGGCGCGCTGTGTCCACCGCCGCTGAACGGGTGCAGCGGCATGCGTCGGCATGCAGGCTGCATGCATGTGGGGCGCGCTGTGTCCACCATCGCCGAGAGGGGTGCAGCGGCATGCAGTTTGCATGCAGGCTGAATGCAGGAGACCCCAAACTCAACTAAATTTGGTTGAATTTTTACATGAGTTTAGTGGAGTGGTTTCCGGCTTGAAAGCTGGCCAACCCGAGCAACAAGTGCACAAAAAAACGTCCTGCACCTGCCAAAACTGCTATCCAAAATTCAAGCAAATTTGGTTGAATTTTTCACCGAGTTTAGTGGAGTGATTTCCGGCTTGAAAGCTAGCTAACCCGATCAACAAGTGCACAAAAAAGCCCTGGACCCGCCAAAGTTGCTACGCAAACTTCGTTTGTGGATTGATCTCCGGCCTGAAAGCTTGCCAACGTGAGCAACAAATGCACAAAAAACGTGCTGAGCCCGCCAAAATTGCCACCCAAAATTCAATCAAATTTGGTTGAATTTTTCCGCGCGTTTAGCGGAGTGATTTCCGGCTTGAAAGCTAGCCAACCCGAGCAACAAGTGCACAAAAAAACGCCCTGGATCGCCAAAGTTGCCACCCAAAATTCAACCAAATTTGGTTGAGTTTTTCCACGAGTTTTGTGGACTGATTTCCGGCGTGAAAGCTACCCAATGCGAGCAACAAGTGCACAAAGAAGAAACGTGGAACCGCCACAAATGCTACCCAAACTTCTTTTGTGGACTGATTTCCGGCCTGAGCAACAGCTTGGTGCACTGGGGGCTTGCTGCGCATGTCGGATGTGCATGACAGCTCGTTTGACTATCTTCAACAGATTGGTGCCCTGATTGCTGCGGCACAAGGCATAAAGAATGCTCATGATTACACGTATGATGTGCGGGAAGTGAATGAGCTACAGCTGAAATGGATCCGCCACGTCAAGATAGAGACAGGAAATGCTCGATCCTCGAAGTGAAGTCTCCAACACTTTGCCAATGCAAATGTCCCGGTTTACCGGCGACGGAATGACATATATAAGATGAGTGAGGGGTCGACTGTCACTGTCACTGTCACGGATAAGAATTACCCAAGTGGAGTCCAAACTGGACCACGAGCCGCAATTGAGGCATGTGAAGAAGAGTGAGCCCAGACATTGCAATTCGCGGGTTGGCAAGCCTGAGCCTACAACGGCAACAACACAAAAAGGAAGAGCCAACTGGCTGACCTTCCTGGTTATAACCAATTTGACAACCATTCATGTCCGAAATCATGACCCTGTCTGACGCTTTCAGCTATCTGGGGTCTTCGCCAATCTAATATTTTTTGTCATGCTTTGCTAAGCTATGTATGTCATGTGGTGTTGTGTTGTGCTATGTTGTGTTATGCCATGTTATGGCTATGTTTTGTTACACTGGTTTATGCTGTGTCATGTTATGACATGCTGAGTTTTCTGTGCCGCGTCATGTGGTCTCGACATGTCACGTCCGGTGTCATGGCACGTTCTTACACTATGCGATGCTATGTCTTGCTATGTCATGAGTTTTGAGAAGGCTACCTGCTATGCAGTACTCGTATAGTAATTACGTTACTTGTTCTATTGCCAAGTTGGCATCTGAATGTTGGAACATGTAAAACTATGGGGGCTACTAAACGTTGGTATTGAAATACCAACTTCATGTTTGAATTTACACTGACTGATCACCACCTGTTGGCGAATAGTAGTTTTCGAACTAACTACTGACTAAAGCACCACGAACACGACTTGAGGGCCACACGTGTATTCAAACACGTTTAACGAAGCTTCAGTTTCAAAGAGTAACAGATCCAAAAACAATAAACTTAGGGGCATCTGACCCCATGGATCCACCTTCTCTGGCCTCAGGTACAAACCATCGAGAATGGTATGATACAGTCTGTGTTCAAGGGCCGTTTTTGGCTCCAGGGAAGCCTTGTAGGCTTGTTTAAAGAACCAGCCTACCTGGTCCAATGGCTTCCATGAACCCTATACCATAACGCACGGCCCATCAACACAAACTCGAGATTACCTGAGGCCGAACGAAGTGGATCTATAGGGGGAAGGGGTGCACCAATGTAAATAAATAAGTACAAGGACACGTACATAGATATATATATATATATACATACACACACAGGAATTTACATATACGTGTAATATGGAGATTCGGCTTATGTATCTCTACATACTTACCTCGTGACTTTACGTGACATGGTCCTGCTTCGGAATAGCTTGTCGTGTCACCATCTGGTTCTAGGCCAGGGCCCATGCTCTGTTTCGCCCAGTACAGGCATCACAGAAGTCTCGACCAACCTTGGCAGAATGAGAATTCCATGATGTTATCTGTTCATCTATGTATTTGTCAGTGTAGGCCGAGTTTGTTTCAGAGGTTTGGGGTTTAAGGTGTTGACTCGCAAGTCGCGACTTGGGCAAGGAGATGCAGGATGAGAGTGCTGGAGAGACTTTTGAATTGTTTCAGACACAGAAGCCAACAAGATAAACACAGTTTTGATTCTCCAGATGTTCATCCACGGCAATGCAGGACCGGAAGTTCCTGCAAGCAGGACGACAGGCATCCTCGCCCAGCGCACCGGGAAAAAGCGTGAAGCTTCAACACAATGGAACGAAAAGCTGTCCGTTTTTCCTGGGCAACCGGCAGTCGCAAACGTTGCAGTGCGTCACCATCACAAGCCGGGAAAGGGCTCTGCGGTGGTGCCTGTGAATGCAGCGGTGGAGCGATGCTACCCGCGCTATATCGAAAGGGCCCTCTTGCACTTGGAACAGTCAGCTATCGCAACACATTGAGCAGCCGGCAATGCGTGGATTCATCCAATCCTCCTTCGATCACTTAGGAACAGTTGGGCACAGCCATTACCTCCAGAGATCTTCGTGACACATAGCTAACGTCATTGCATGATCCCACTGAGAGCTTTGAAGATGAGAGTGCTTTGAAGATGACATGTCTGACCGGGAGTCTTACCGAGGCCGAATGAGTCGGAGACGCAACATTCGGACCGCAAGGCTTGGAAGATGGGCGCAGAGTCTACGCAAGGGTGTTCATCCACCTGAAGCTAACTTTTTTAGCATCAGTACTGGCTCGCTTCATAACAGCTCGTTTCTTGAAGCTCGCGAACATTCTCGACGGTGTTTGCGACACTGTGAAAACACACAGGTGTGTGCGAACGTGCGGCCAGCCCCCAGCGCCCCCCCTTCAGACAACCTAAATTTATTACCTCAAGAATGTCACGTTTCATGTCGAGGAGGGAGCAAGTATGCACATCTCTTTTGCATCAGGTCCACGCAAGAAAAAACGGAGGAGCATTGTGCTTTCAGTGAGACCCCGAGCCTTCGCAACGGCATGTATTTGAAGAAAGACCAGGTCACTCGAGGACGTGTTATCAGCTGGCAGAGCTGGACTTCCGATTACTCACAAACCCCAAGTGCAAACACAAAGCCCTAGTCAAGCAACAGGTCTTCGAAGGCTCCTCATCCTCCAAACCGCGCCCGCCGCTTTGGGATGCCAACGGGATGACCTGGCTGTGATATCCAAACACTGATTGAAGTATGGGGTGTCTCGGTCTCGATCCACGCGACGTGAACAACGCAGTGCTGTACAATGGAAGTATGCGTGCCCTGGACGGCTGAAACTGAAGTCTCCAGTAAAGGCTTTTGCTACCGCCCTGACTCGGGATGAGCAAGAAGTTTCAGTTTTTCCACGCCAAGACCACGACACTCCGTAAATCTAAACCGCACAGTTCTAAAAGCCTTAAGCTCCTATCGCCAACGGCTCAATTACATAACTCTAGGACCGTGTCATGTCTCATCTTACCTTCTTAGCCGTATTATAACTCAATATTCTGATTGTATTTCAACGCATTGTATGGCATTGTATTATGCTGCCGTATACTATATGCGATTTTACTGAACGGTACGCCGTGAAGGGGGGGGAGTTTGGAACAACACCTGTTTGTTTCCCTGAGTTGAACTTCTTGATGGAGAGTAAGATGTTGCTATCTCCAAACAAATACATTACTCTGCCTCGCGTAAAAAGAACATCAGCTTTCTGCAGTGTGGGTTTTTTCCCGCTCCATTGTGTCATCTTCTTTTTCCTAATTGACATTGTTTTACGTGTGCTGTTCTGTTCCGTTCCATTCGGTTTTGTGCTATTCTAACCCAATATTATAAATATAACATGTTCTATCGTGGTATGCCATATTATACAATTCTTTATCATACTATGTCATACCATATTTTTGCGGTTCTATGTTATGTTATGTCGTTTTCATATTTAACTATATTGCAGTAAAGTGAATGAACTGCCTTGTACTTTTTACTTTTCGATGTAATATATTGACATCAGCCATACTCAATTACACGATGTTCTAATGTATCAACTCTTTCTTCATCTACCATACTATATGATGGCTGTATTGTCGAAAACACCCGTTCGGAATGCTTTCTTGTAAGTACCTGGAGGTTCATGGGCAGTTATAAGTGAAGTTATAAGTCCCCTAATATGGGCTTTAGACTACCCATGAACCTCCAAGTACTGGAAGGATTCCGAAGACTTCGGACACACGGCCTGCTCTCAGACTTGCACGAAACTGCCTTACCCGGAGCACTGGCGCGTTTCCTGCTTCCCCCGGTTTTGCTTGCGGGATCCAGAGGAACACATAAAATCGTTTCCCGCAGCTACTACTGTGATTCAAGGTTCTCAGATCAAAAAATGGTCGATAGTATGATTTACAAAAGATCGGGCTGGTGGATGTGCACAGGTAGAAAATGAAGGCCAGAGAAAAGTATGCGCCGTACCACAGCGGGAGATGCATGTCGGACACATCCTTTGTAAATAATAGGACGCAGGGTCCAGTTTTGCTGCATTTGCTGCAAATAACAGGAAGCCATGGAACCATATGGGAAACATAGGGGGGCCGGACTGCGGCTCTCGTGGTGCCTGTCCCGCCACCCCTGCAAGAGTCCTCCCGTTGTCCTGGCTGCGAGGGTGCACCAGCACCGTCCAGCAATCTCCAGCTCTATCTCTGTGGCCACGTGCATGCAGGTTTACATATTGGCTTGCAGATGCAACGGGGCAGGAGGCAGCACGCCGCGCTTCGTGCATCTGAAGACTTAACACTCTCGGCCCGAAACGCATTTGGCCTCTGCGCCCATCAAACCGCCGACGATACCCTTCATGCAAAGCTGCAGCTGCGACTTCATCAATCGGTGCGGCCATATTGCATGGCGCATTGTTCTCAACTTGGCCTGTTGCGTGGATCACATTTACTTTAGACTTTTCGTATCATTGTCGGGGCCGCGATGGCTTCTGGCGAATCAATCTCTACCTCGCCACATTGTAGTGCAGTATTGTGTACAGTCTCATAGTATGTTACACTGCATTGCGTTACCCCAACATACACTACGTTATATTATAGTACAACAGGTTATATTCGATTGGGTTAGGTTTAATGCGTCTGCAGTATAGCATAGTCTGTTAAATTCTATTCCAACACTTTCTGTTCTTCTATATTACTTTTATTACATCACTCGATGTTCTTCATGTTTTCTTACGATTTTATAGAGACCAGCCTGCTGTTAAGTTGCCTGCGAGCTTCCGCTTGCCTCAAAATCTCAACTGATTTGGAGGCCCAGATGACAAGTGTTCGGCGGCGCAAACGCCACGCCGGCAACCCAGCTTTATTTCGTGGATGCGGCTTTTGGAGTTGCGGATGTCCTCTGGCGGCACTTTGACCGTTGGGACAGCTTAGTTGCCGTCGCATCCTTGAACAGATCCCGACCTGTGGGACATGAGCAAATACCATGCCCAGCACAGCATTTTTCATGGTGGCGCACGATCGCTCTGGCTTACCAGCACGACACGGCGCTACATCAAAATCACGTCTATGTTAGCTTGGACGCAATGTGGATCCCTTACTACCCTGATACTGCCTGTATAAAACTCAACTGTTTCCAACTGAAAACTAGCCCATAGTCTCTGAGAAGCTGGGGGTCGTGAGGCTCCTTCTTTTGGGATTGTCGGGTGTCCTGGAGTGCCTTTGTTGGCGTCCTGCTTTGACCACAGTCTCCAGGGCAACAGCTGTTGTGGCTCTCTCTCTCCCAGGTCTTGCTGCATGTGCGAGCCGAGCTGATGCACCCCGCTAAAGCCCCAAACTGCGTAACAGGAAGCACTTCCAGGCTTTAGGATCGAGAAGTGGAATGCTGAGCCACCAGCCCCGGGTGTTGTTCGATTTGGCCAAAAACCCCAGAAACCTCTAAACTCCCTCAGCCTAGAGACCTTCAAGCCTAAAGCCCCCACGAATTCTCTGCTTTCCTACCCAACCAACGCGTGGCTGCTCGGCGAGGCGGAAGGCAAGGGAGCGGCCGAAGATGATGCGGGCACCGTTGTAGAGCGCCGCGGCCTCGTTGGGCTTAGGATTCTTGAAGTAGGGTAGGTTTGCTTCGAAGTCGATTCAGAAAAGTGTAGGATCCCGATGTCGAATGCAGGCAAGTTTAAGACAATCCGCGCCGTGTCTGGGGCGTCTGCAGAACCGATTGTTGAGACTGCCATCAATAAAGAGCTTGGACTAGCTGGACTGTCCACGGGCTGTCCAAATCCGATTGGTCATGCACAACTCTATGGGCGTCTGCTCCAGAGCGCATAATACACGTAAAGCCCGGTCCAAAATAGTTCCCCCAAACTGTGAAGCCTCGGCCCAGCATTCCCTTCAAGCCTGAAAGCTTCTACCTGATCTGCCCTGGACGTCGAACAGCTGAGGAGGCCTGGTTCTCGGACACCTGTATGCCGTCGACCTGCCAGGACCGGAGCACTCACAGCAATCTCTATGAGCAGATCCAAGGCAGGCCGGCGGGGCCATCAGGCGCCCGCCTCCGGAGTGTTGCACCTGCACCGATCTTGGGTCTGTGAAAAAACAGATTTTGAGGTTTCGGGCTGCTGCTGTGGGGGCTCTCGGGCTCCTGTGCCTGACGGAAGACGAGGCCTTGTTCAGACACTGCGGGATAACGTGCAGGTCATGCACAGGCATGCGCAATTTGCCGAAGTGTCCGGTATACTGCTGCATTCCAAAACCTTGAATGTCATGCTTCATGTCTGGTTTTGCAGGCTCTCAAGGCACCACATACGTAAACATCAATACCTGCAAGTCGGAAGCGGGAAGCTACTCTGGAGCTTGCGCAGCTTACGTTGAGGCTGCCTGCATCTCAAGCATGCTGGGCATTTGCAGCAGTTCAGGTGAGCACGCCTCTGAATCAAACCAGCTACTAGGGTCCATTTGCCTCCAGGACGTGTGCACGCTGTCAGGAATATGCTGTAACAGGTTCCTTTGTAGAACATTCCCACGAAAAAGGGGTTACTTCAGATTACTTCGACCACCCAGCACACGCATGGCCCAGGCAAGGTTCCCTGCCACGCCTCGACGCCCTTTCCACCTGCCATAGGAGGTCTCTTTAACTACATGGCTGCGTTGGCATCCAGCAGAAGATTTGAACTGCGGGGCTTCATGCACTTTTTCCCACGGTTCTGTGCTACGGTTCTACATACGCATCTTCCCAGCTCCAAATGGAAGTAGGCTGCATGGATGCGGCAGAGCGAAATGCAGACTTTTACAAACCGTTCCACAGGTGGCCTACGCATTGCACATCCTGCCTGCAACAACGGAGATGTCGCATAAACGGTCGGGAATCCCCAACCCCATCAAGCGGATTCGGTTGTTCTCCTGGCACATGCAAGCAGTGAGCTCTACGCATGCACAGTCCCATTCCAGCAGGCTGGCAAAGCTGTGAAATGCTCGAACCAACGTCTTTCTACGATCCCTTCCACGCTATTTTGGAGGAGCTTCTGGTCAGCTCAGTTTACACGAGGCAGCTGCTGGTGCATCAGAGCTGGTTGAAACAATCCTCAAACCCTGATAGCCAAGCCTCTCGCGAAGGAGCAAGAAAGCCGATGCTGGGAATTCGTAAAGTCAGATGGTGCCCCATGTCTACTTGCCATGGATCCTGGCAGCTAGAGACCTGAGCAGTTTAAAGACCAACTTCAAAAGACCCCAGGAAGGCTCTCATCCCTCGATCTTCCAGGGCCCTGAGGCCCAGACACCGGAGCCTACGCTGATGGGCGGACCCTCCGGCAGGAAGTAAAGAAGCCTCTGCAGTGTCTCTGGTAGGCTTTAGGCTTTTCAGGGACAGGACATGCTCCTGATGCGAAGGGCAACACTGCCGACTGCAAGCACTATCTTGATGGACCTTTCTTTTAGAATATTGTGGGCTGTGTATCCCTGAAACTGATACCGGTTGGGGAACGAAGCGCCTGCCCGCCAAGGAGATGTCATCCGAGATGTTGAGCAAATACGGCCTGGGCTACCGAGAATCTTCGTCACGAGGCAGGCGTTTCAAGTCCTTTCTATTTCTGCAAGGGGTCGCAGGTGGCGAGTGCTAGAAAAAAGACCTACGGAATTTGGGGATCTGCTTGAAGGCTTCCGCAGCCCTTGCACAAGCATCTTGCTTCTGAGGGTATTCACGAAGAGCGGCATATCTGACAAATTGAAAGGTAGATGCGCGGTTTGAGTCTTGTGGTCAGAATCTGATAGCGAAAAGAAGTGTCAACCTGTCCACATGACTGCAAGAACAGTCTTTCTCAGACCTGAAAGACACCGAAGTCTAGTCAGTCACAGTGGTGCACTCCCTTCCTTACGTGTGATACCGATGAAGATTGTTGCGGAGTACCGTCAACAAAAGCAACTGGACATACCAGCAATGACAAAAATCAAGCGAGAGCACACCAGCACGGACATGGTAATCCCACACGCCGTACTGCGATCAGAGTATCCTTGCAGTAGTAAAGTATTTGTAGTCGTCGGAATCTTCTTTCCAGCGTCTTCGGTTCTAGTCGCAGCATTGGTGATTGCGGTGAAAATGTCTCAGTGGCGGTCTTTGCAACAGGAGTGGGGTTACAAGGGTCAGCAGCAACAGTTGCAGCAGCAGAAACGGACTTGTGCTAAAAGGAGGGGGTGCTAGGAGGTTTCTGTTCGGTGGAAGTACGGAACGAAGAAGATACTACCGGTACAAGACACCGCAACCAACAACAGAAGCACAACGGGCTAATTAGCGATGAGAATGCAAAGCCCACTGGGAAGCCGGCGAATTTGCGGTCACACCGTCTTGCGATTGACCTGGCGCATGTCGGAAGTCCTGGTGAAAACGAGCCAGAGAGTGCATTGATGGACCATGCAACAGCACCGTGCAGAAGGAACACTGCTTGAGCAGGAAACCTTTCTCACACGCGGCATTGAGCCGGCTGCAAGGATTTGGTCATTGCGAAGAGTAGCAGTGTACCACGCCCAAACATGGGTGCCAACCCCCAGTGACGTAATAAGTCGCATACCCAAACACTGAGATTTTTCGGGACCACCCGAAACCATAAAACCTTGGTGAACCCATGTAGAAAGCCGAAAATTGCTATCAACATCTATGTCTATGCACAGAGAATGCATGCTCATACAGAGACTCCCCGTGAACTTTGCCCAGGGCCCGAGGCCTCCAAGCATTCCTCCAATGGCAAAAGGCAAGCTCAGACCTGCCAGGGCCTGGTGCGCATGGGGAGTTTCGCACCCTAGGACAGCTTTCTGTTCAAGCCTTTGTTCCCCAAACAGTGCTTGCACTATGGGGTTCTTACGTTCAGTGTAAAGGAATTGGATGTGGGCTGCAACGGCGCACGGGGTGGGGCGCCCTCTTCTTCTTCTGGGGGGCCCACTTAGGTTGCGGGCCGCAGCGGCGCCTGCGCTGGGGCGCCCTCTTCTGGCCTCTTGGGGGGGGGGCCGCGCCACTTAGGTTGTGGGCCGCAGTGGCGCACGCGGTGGGGGCATCTGCGCCGGCATAATTTTTGTGTAAGCTTTTCCATTTTTAGGTTGGCTTGTGCGCATCTCGTTGAGGGTTTCGAATCCAACCCTTTCGGATTTTGGTGGTTTCAGGTTGCGGACTTTGCGGCCTTGCGAGACGAGCGGTTAACGGGAACCATTTTGCGAAAGGAGCTGTGCAGGACATGATGCTTTCATCACCGGGTGTTGGCTGTTGGGGTGTGTTGGTGATGGAGCAGGTGCCAAGCTTCGACAGCTGGGAGAGGCAAGCACTTGCAGATCTCACATGCGGCAACTCGGACGAAGACCAGAAGCCAAAGCTGGGAGCTGCCTGTCGTGTCGCCTCCTGCTGGGCCTGCTGCGCCTGCGCGAGTGGGGATGTGGGGCGCTTTGAAGGCTAAGACGAGGAGTCCCCAAGCTGTAAGGCCGTGTGGGAGTTCAGGCTATGTACCTATGCAGATACATGCTTGAAAGAAATATCTCAAGCCTGCGACCACATCGTCTTGTCGATCCGCGTCTGCATGCTGATCACCTTAGCTTTGGGACCCTCTCTCAGCTTTTGACTTTGAGATAATGGAGCCCTTATTAAAAAGCGTTCGGAACGACAAAGAGACGGCCCTTTTCCACAAGAATGGCGGCATGGGATCTTAAGAAGTCCGCACTTGTGTGCTCTGGTTTGGTGCTTGTTGCTGGGATTTTTGTTGGTTCAGAAAGCTGTGAAGCTAGAAGCCGGATGGCAGTGGCCAACTCTGTATCTTTAAGCATGCCCCATGACAAGGAATGGGTTCGGTGCGGAGTGAGATCACCATATTAACGTGATGTGCAAGCGAGGCTGCTGGTTCAGGCAAGATGAGGCCGTCGCCGCATGCTCCACAGCTTCGGCGTGGATTTCCAACCGCCTAGCCTGCCAACATGGTTGAAATCAGGCATCTGGGCTTACCAACCTTTGAATACCAGTCTGATCTCAGTATATATAGATCCTGACATACATGCATAAGTAGAGAGAGAGAGAGAGAGGGAGAGACGGAGCATTTGTATCTACTCGTGTGACACGGTATTTCATCATATACAGAGAAGAAAAAGACGTGCTGCCTAGCTTATAAGCATACCTCCAGCCCCTCGGACAAAGCCGTCCCGCCGTCACACAAGTTCCCAAACGACAAAGAGGCTTTGAAGTTCTACGAAGTCCATGGAAACGTCATGTCAGTTGGAACCCTACCGAAACCCATTAAAGTGACAACACATATGGGATCGTAGCAGGGAAATAATAAGGAAACGGTCTTCGCTCTTCGAGGCACCTGCTGCGGACTTTCTTCCCTCGCTTTGATCGCCGCGGCCTTCAGCTCCTCCGCCTGCGGAGGGCTCCAACTCTAAACTCGCGGCTTGGAGCCTATGCGCTGGCTCGGACTTGCACTCATTGCAATCAGCCCACAGAGCCCCTCCAAAAGGCATAATGGCCTTGTGACGGAGTTTGCGTGTCAGTGTGACTGGAGCTGACATCCGATCCACCCAAGCCTCCGAACGCATAGTCTGCAGGAGGAGGTCGCTCTCGCCGACGTCCTGGGTCGTGAAGGCTGCAGTGCGTTTCCGCTGTGCAGGTCATCGCTTCATTTCAAGCGACTGCAACGAGAAGATGCCTCGCTTTCGCACTAGTCTTCGGCTGAAAACAAGCTGCCCTAGGTCCCTAGGTTGCCAGCTACCACCTCGCCAAACATCGGACAAGCACACTCGCGGAAACCACGGGGGTAAAACGGAGTTCAAGATCATGCAGGGCTTTCGGTAGCAGTCGCCGCCTTCCCTTGATGGTTCATGTCTGGGTCGGGCCCCACCCTAGGGCTGAAGGCTGGCTCTCCAGAAGTCTGAGCTTATCCGTCCGGTCCTGCTCGTTGGAGACGGCATGAGTGCGCACCTGTCCGAACCGGAAGGGGGCACAGTGTCCCGCTCTGAGGTCTACGTCTGCTGCCCGTGAGGGCATTTTGCCCCTGTTGAAGCTTTTGCACCTGCCTCGAGGGTGATTTAAAGTATCGATGTCGCAGGTCGCCCAACACCCATCTGCTGTGCGCTACACCACACCCATTCATCTCCACCGAAGAAAAGTGAATGTAGGATGATGCACCTTCTTGACGGAGCTCGCGAAACGAAGCGTCCCAAGCGTCTCCTGCAAGATGCCGTACCGACAGCTGCGACGTGCAAACACATGCGTTTCTGCCATGCATGCAAGTATGTTTCTGTACACATAAACATATATGTGAGTATACGTACTTACGATTATAATCCCATCCATCAATCTATCTATCCATACATCGACCTATCTATTTGTCTATCTACTATCTATCTATCCAACTAGCTAGCCAGCTATATGCTACCCCGGTCCAACGCCCACGGAATCTCTCGTGCTTTCCGGAGATGTTTCGGACGTCTGGGCAAGATTGGTATTTATGTCTTTCATGAGCAAAAATGCCGGTGCTACTCGATAAAACATCTTCTTAACAGCGTGCAGGCATATCCTCCTATTCGCCAATTTTCTATCTATACCTCCGCCCTTCCATCGACCAATCCGTCTACGCGTGCGCGCATATACAGACAGGTCTCAGTACCGTCCATATTCTGTTTGACAGCTATCCTTGTGCAGCATCACATCGCCATACTATGCTATGCCCGTACAGTAGCCGAGCCGACCATGTCTTTCCATTCCACGAGCGTCACAAGCATGCACTGCGTGTATGAAGTGCAGTGTCTTTGTGCGTTGCAACTCTAGGGCACTCCAGCTGTGGCCAGCAGTTTCGATTCCCCTTCCGACAGCTCTGAAGTGCAGCGTCGAAACGAAAATACATACTACATACTGCATATGCACCACATGCAGCAGGTGCATCACGCAAGAATATCGCATGGGTTGCCCTCGCTATACAAATTGTGCGAGGCCTGCAGTGCAGGCTGCTGCAAAAAGACAGACATGACGTGTGTCCTCCATCTCCGAAAGTGCAGGCGATATGGCAGCAACCTCGGTTGACTGCAGTAGGTCTCGGAAAGCTCGACAGGGCAGTATGGATCTTTCGGCATCCGTGCCGACGGCACCGCTTTCTGCACGTTGTGCTTGCAAGCGACCCAAAAGAAAAGCCCAGCTGAGCACTCCAAGCAAGCTGGTACAAGCATGACTTCAGTAGCAGAATTCCCAGAGGAGTCACAGAAAGAGAACAGCATCCACTCCAGGCGATCCTGAAGTCCTTCAGGCAGGTGAATGTTTATTGAGCTGGCGGCCATGTGCGTCTTGCTATTGCCATTCAATGCATCCGTCAAGAGGTAGGTAAGCTTGCTCTGCCTGCCAAGTCCATATTCGCTTGCGCAGGTGTCTGCTTCGAGAGGGGAACTCCGTGATTCCCGCTGATTCCGAAATCGCGATTGCATCCGCGCTTGAAAACCACACAAGGCCATTCTGAGGCCTGAAGGGCACGTGCTTGAACTTGCCCTGGGCCAGTTTCGAGATGACCTGCAGATGGTTGCTGTCTTCTTGTTTCTTTACGACCATGGAAACTACACGAGGTTTTGTGAGGTGTTCCAGAGTAAAGAATCTTGTCTCTGCCTGCAATGAAACAGTAACAAATGCAACTAGTCCACGCCCGGCCTGGCTCCACATTGCAACACAAGCATCGCAATAAAGTTGCCATCAACGGAGGCTGAATTCAAAAAACATGCCGCAAGGAGAGGCAAAAGAGAAAGTGCCATATTCTGGGTACGAACGGAAGAACCCAACACTTAGGATCTGGGCTTAGTCCTCGAAGGTCCTTCACTGCGGCCTGCCCGAGGACGCTGAGGGAGCTGTTGATGTTTTGGCCCTCTCTCATCCTTTGGCCTCAGGCACGGAAAGGTCCATACCCTCTTGCCAGAATCATACAGGAAGTCATGGCACCCATCTGTGTTAAGCATGAACCTGCAAGTATGCAGGTATTGCTAGGGTCATAGTAAGCACATAGGCAGCTTTTCACAGACCTGAGCTGCCCGGCCTGCTGCGCCGCTCTTCTTCACTCGCTCACTGCCCGCGAGGTCGATGAGATTCTGTTGCCGCAAAGGGGGACTACGCCACATCGGCAGAGGGTTCATGTGTTGGCTTTGCGGCCCAGGGTTTAGAGTTTAGGAAGTGTATGTGGACGGCGACGTTTTCAGCAGTGGATGTAGGCCTAAACCGGAAAAACTTTCTGGTTTCAGGACCGACCCTGCAAGAAAGCTACAACGATTGCATTGGGGAGGCTCAGGATGCCTCCCTGACCGGTGACCGTGAATGGGGGCGCTTGTGGGCCGCTTGATCTGCCTTGTAGCCCTCGAAACTGAATCGGATAATCACTAAATTACACCGACAGGACGGGCGACCTGAAAGATTCTGCGATCACGCTCTGACTTCGTAGGATCGGTGCAGAGCCCAGGGGCCGCACCAGCGTGCTGTTTCGGATTCGCGTTCTCGCTTCATCCTGGCGATGTCGGCAGTCTACAGACCAGCCTGAACTTTCTCAAGCGCCTAGGCTTCCGCCTCTCCTCCTGCGGAAGGCCGAAACCCGAATCATCTTTCGCTCCGATACGCGCCAAATCAACTCGGTCCTTGATGGGGAAGGTTATCCGAAGAATGAACAGGGCATGACTTCGAGAAGACCTGGCTTCCGGGAAGCTGGGACCAGGGCTGCTACAGGGGGACACGAAAAAGCGATGATCCGCTTGAAGAGGGTCTTTGAAACAAGGTCTGAAGTGAGCTATCTACATTAAACTGATAACACATTTATCGTAACTGCTTCGATTCCTGATACTTTCAGAACAAGATCTCTCAACACCTTACAGCCTGAACCTTGAATGCCCTGAAGATACAGTCCGCAGTTTCGCTTGCGGGCATTGGAAACGGGCGAACAAACCAGCTCCAGAGTTCGCTCGCCAGCCGGCTTCCGGTAGGTGCGGCTTGGTGCTTGGAGGTTCATGGGTAGTTTCAAGTGAAGTTATAAGTCCCCTGATATGGGTTATAATTATAGTTACCCTACTTATAACCCCACTTATAACTACCCCTGAACCTCCAAGTAATTGTACTGGAGGTGGATAAACTAGCAGCAAACCGGGTTACGACAGAAGTCCGAGGAGGTGTGCGCAGCCCACTCGCAGCTGTACATGCCCTATTCATGCCCAAAGGTAGCCCAGAGCTTCTTCAACCGAACTCTCCCTCATCATGTTTCGTGTCTTTTGCGCGGCTCATCGCCACATAAGCAAGCAAAGGGGCAGTCCGAACGGTTGAGGACGGGTCTGCAGAAATGCAACCAGTGTGTATTGCCAATGCTGAACAGTGTGGCATATCTGCTTATCAACTCATTTCGTTCGGAGCCGCCCGAAAAGACGAGTCAAGGCTGTCCAGCGAGCCCCTGCGAAAATCGTCGGGACTCGGACTTGCCAAGGGCCGATAAAGCTGGTCCAAGAGCATGAAGTGCCGACACAGCGACAGCCAACTGATTGAGCTCAGCCCGTGCATTGTTCTCATATTACCGTACCTGTTCGGATTTGGCCAGCGGATTTCATCTCTGAATGTCCCTTCCACTGCTCCAGATATGGAAAGGTCTGCATAGATATAGATAGCGGGATCCCTTGTCTTTAAACAAAATTGCACACATGCACGCAGGCTTTTGTTCACATGATTGTCCACTGAACAAATGCTGACATCTTCTGGAGGGAGCGAGCTGAGCCAGAAAGAAAGGCGTCGACCTAGATTTCACAGGCAAGTCGGAGGGAAACTTCCCAGCCTGCCTGAAGGATCTTGGGTAGTAATAAGAGGCGTCATGTCGGTGTTATATGGCTACTGGGGAACCCTAAGTAAATCAGCGAAATGGATTCAAACGTTGTGCTTGCGAACCCACGTCTGACTACCCACGAACCTTTCCGCAGCCTCCGGAGATGTGACAGCTCATTCGGATCAGGGGTCCTGGCTAGGACCCTCTTCGCGAAAGGCTGCGCGACTCAGTTTTTGAGAACGAACTTCTCGACAAAGTACTGATGGATACCTGCTCCACGGCGGTCTTTCGACCGGCTGACGATTAAATACTTAGGTGTGGCGCTAGACTGCTTCAGCCCAAAATCCGAGACCCAAGACCTCCCAGGTTCAAAAGGATTACCAAACTTGCCTGTAGCTACAAGGTGTTTCCCCAAAGAGCGAGAGTTCTGGGGTGGGCAGGTCCGGGCTTCCAAGGCCCGCCAAAGGCATTTGGCCCTGGGTTCAAGAAATCTGGAGGTCAATCACCCGAAATCGCGCCGAATTTGGTTTCCAAGGCATCAAAATGCAAAATCCAAGCCTTGTGAAATGCTCCCGCACCCTAAACCCAAGCCCATATGCCTTTCAAGGTCCGCTAAGCCGCATGATATGGCCCTGGTTTCAACTCTGGAGCTCAATGCTGTCACATCCGAAAATCGTCGACCGCAGCTTCAATTTGCAACCAGAAAGATGCATTTTTCAAGGCCTGTTGGGGATGAATGGGATTATTGGTGGTGCTCAACAGTATCCTGGAACGCCATTGCGTGCACTAGCTAGCTCTGCTCGAAATATTTTGGTGTGCAACAGCCACATACGAGCAGGCTGTAGTATTTCGGCATGAGCATGGGGCTCGAACATCATCCGTGAAGCCTGGCATCCGCAACTGCGGCACAGAAACCGGCTTCGTTAACCCACAGTATATGCTGAGGCCCCAGCGGTGGTCCTGTGACAGTTCCGGGTGGAACGTGGTCACCAGCAGCTGACTTGGCAGTGTTAGATGTGCCGAAAATCCAGTTTCTTGTGGCCGGAGACTCGACGCACACACATGTTAACACGAAGCCGAGGTAATCATAAGTAGGCAAACGAAGTGTGGCATCTCTTAAAGTTGGTTTGATATAGCATTTGCTCATGGAGTGCTATTTGCATCAACAGTAGCGGGGTCTACCACATTCATGGCGTTAATTGGAAGTCCAAGTGTCTCTTTTGCTGTGTTTGGCCCTGCTAAGAGAACTTCATTGGACAAGTGTTCTCAGCACCGCTTGAGATGGGGTTGAGGGTCGATGCCAGGAACGTCAAGCGGAGAGAAGGAAGCACCACAACGATGAGAGGTTCACATCAACCTCTAGTCTCAAATTGGGGGCACAACGTCCGACACCATGGCAAGATGACATAAACACCGGCGAGGACCGAATCCCCAAACACTCCTCAAGCCACTGAGTCAAAAGCTCGGATTCCGCTGCGACGATGACGCCCTTCCTGTCTCCTCTGCAAACAGGCACTTGAAGCCGGGGTTTAGGAGTTTAGAGTTTAGGTAGAGGGCTCTGCGGCTTCTTTTCAGAATGCTCCTCGCCTCACTGCTAGTACCGCACTCTCAGATCCGGGCCGGTAGCAGTGGGATGCGACACCTGGGCAGTTACGCGGATTGCAGCATAATTGTAGAGGCCCCTATATTAGCACGGAGGCGGGTCAACAATGCCAAGTTCCCCAGAGTGATACAGAACCATAAACATGGACGTTCGAAAAGCATCAGTTTCGTTTTGAACACGAGTACGTTTTCAGCATGAAGCGCAACTATGCTTGCTGCTAGGTTCGCTAGGTGGAACTCAACAATTTTGGTTTCAGCTTCCTTTCCACCAAAGGCCAGTGCAACTTCATAGACGAGACCCACGACTCCAACATCTTGCAAGATGCAACAGCTGCAGCCAGTGGATGGCACACTGCATTTTAGCAGTATTTCACGCATGCGAAACGCAAAATTCCGGGCGACATGATCCAACCGTGGATCCATGCAAAACTGATCTTCAAGCGCTGTGTCCTTGCTGCTTAAACACGCGAATCTGCAAACGAACATCAAGCCTCAAACCACACGGAATCACCTGTCTGTCTGTCTGTCTGTCTGTCTGTCTGTCTGTCTGTCTGTCTGTCTATCTTATCTGTCTGTCTATACGAACAGTATATGTGTACAGGTATGTGTGCATGCATGCATGCATGCCTGTGTGCACATGCATGTGTGTGCATAACTCTCTCTCTCTCTTTCTCTGTTTGTGTATGTGTGTGTGTGTTTACTTATACATATGTCAGACATAATCGCAAAGAGATTACAGCGTCTCCCTTGGCTGTCTGAGGGACGGCTCGCCCAGCACCTACATACTCCTCTTGCTGCCAGCAGGTCTACCCGGGACTTTGCCAGAAAAGGGGATCCTAGTAGCACTAGGTCGAACTCCATTGATACCTCCTCCCTTTGCTTCTCCCTGCATTGCAAGGAGCTCTTGCAAGCTCGCGGACGCCGTCGCCGGTGCGAAGGATGGCAGGAGCCCGGATGAAGACTGCGAAGGCTCGGCTTCGGAGGCTTCTTGGAGAGTGTTAATGTCGGGGCCTTGATAACTAGAACAGGGCTTTGGGATATATTGTACGATCATTGCAATAAGGAGCCCCCCAAACAGTATTGGTAACTATTGGGGCCCCTATATTACACTGGTGGTTGCAGACTTCTTTAGGATTTTGCACGGGGCGGCATCGAACGGTGGGAAGTGTCCAGGCCCGCGGTGGGTATCACTCGCTGGGGTGAATCGAGCTGATGACCTGAAGCATTTCTTACCCAGTTTTCTATTTTCGAGCTTGGCTTCGGACTCAAACCTTGGGCAGCGGCGGTTATGGGTGATAAGACCTGTGCTTTGATGAGTCCCCCAAGGTGGTCTGCGACGGCCTTTTGCCATTCTCTCTGTGGCCACGCTCCTCAGCCCTCTCAGCCATGGCCTTTGACCCTGGACGGAAAAGGAGTGCAGAGGAGTGACATACAAAAGTCGGGGGATCTACAGATCAAGAAACCCTAAACCCTAAACTTTCGGAGAAACTCGAGCCTTCAAAAATCAAACAACCCCCAAATCATAGAAAACGTGAGCCCTCCCTTTCCCAACTCCGTCGCAAAGAACAAGTGGTTGACGGTTTAGGGTGTACGAGCTTTAAGGTTCAGGGGTTCAGGAGAGGGTTTTTGGAGTTTTGGGATGACTCCGATCTGAAAGCACCTGCGGGCTGATGCTTGAAGCTTCGTAGTCTTCGTCTCTACCTGTCGACTTCTGCTGAAGCTGAGGCATGCAATGGCCCACCGACTTCTTCGTGATCTGCCGCCCAACGGCTATCTTCTTGAACTCAACGGTCTGCTGGCTTTCCGTCTGAAGGGCTTCAGTGTCGGAGCTGGAGAAACACGGATTCTTTGCCCGAACCTTTCAACCTGGCGTCTTGTCTGTCGAAACTAGCAAAATAATTGCCAATAGTATTTTGAGGGCTCCTTATTATAATTATGGTATAATGGGCCCCAAGACCCTATGCAAAGAGCAACCCAAGGTATGCATATGACGGCCTGGCAGGTTGCACAGTAGACCATACGGGCACATTTGCACTGGGTTTCTGGCTAAGGTAAACGCTCTACCGCGCCAAACACACGAACACGTCAGAGTCGCACACACCCTCACTTTCTGTTGACGAAACTGTCTGCTGCAGCTTGCTCCCAACACTTTTACCTCAAGACGGCTTTTGCTTCGGTATTGTGGTGAGTGCTGGGTTCCCAGACTCTGCTTCGGGTAGCTGTCAGAACCTTGGGATACTGGTGTCTTGTTCGAGACGGGAGGCTTGAATCTGGTCTGCTTGCGACC